AAAATAACAAATTTGCATGCAGTGGTTATCTCTTTACAAATCCTTTACAAACATAAATTTATCAAATAACAGATATTTCTCTTAAATTCAGAAATACCAAATTTGTGCTTGATGTGATAACAGCTAAGCGTTCTTCCAGTTCAGTTAGAGTTCTATGTTGCCGATTATATCAAGCACAGTTTATGAATCGGTCTCACTAGATTGTTTGATTTTGTTTTCACCTTTGCAGTCCTAACCAAATTGTCTCTGCCAGCACATGTCTCAACAATCCTTCCCATCAACCACTGATTTCTAGGCAAGTCATCCTTAATCAACACAACATCACCCTCAGTTAGATTTCTCGTTGGTACTAACCACTTCTGTCGTTGTTAGAGGGCAGGTAGATACTCACGAGTCCACCTGCGCCAAAAGACGTCTGCGAGAAATTTGATTTGACGCCATCTCCGTCGACTGTACATGTCACTCTTACCAAACACATCAGAAGGGAATACATTACTCTGACGTAGAAGGAGGAGATGGTTTGGCGTCAAAGGTTCTGGGTCCCTGACATCGTCAGAAACCACGGTGAGCGGGCGACCGTTGATAACAGCTTCCACCAGACACACCAGGGTTGATAAGCCCTCATCAGAGAGAGCCTGTTGCTTCAGTAGCGCACTTAGGATCTTTCTGATAGTCCGGATCTGTCTCTCCCAGGAGCCCCCCCCCCCCCCATATGAGAGGCACTTGGAGGGTTGAAATTCAAATCGATTCCTTTCTGCAACAAGTGATTCTGGATTTTCTGCTGGTTCCAGTTCTGGATTCCTTCCTTCAGTTTGCGATTACCTCCAACAAAGCTGGTGCCATTGTCACTCCTAATTACTTCTGGCTGAGCTCTACGTGCCATGAACCTCTGCAAAGCGTTCAGAAATGAATCTGTATCTAACGAGTGTAATATTTAAATATGAACTGCACGTACCACCAAACAAGTAAAGATGCATCCGTATCTCTTCACGTGAGAGCGTCCTTGTTTTACCATAAAGGGACCGAAACAGTCTACACCAACATAGGAGAATGGTGGCTTCTCTGAGTGCACGATCTTCTGGAAGGTCAGCCATTTTCTGCGAGCTTGGAGCTGCTGACCGCTTTCTGCAAACCACACAGTCCTTCAGCACCTGTCGCACTGCCACTCTACCTCGTATCACCCAGTACTGCAACCTGAGTGATGACAGGACATATTCTAGTCCAGAATGCTCTGACGCTTCATGGAGATGCCGCACAGTCAGCTTCACAATATGATGCATCTTTGGTAGAATGATGGGATGCTTCGTCTGCTCTTCAACTGATGCATGCTGAAGACGTCCCCTTACATGAACTAGACCATCATTCAACATCCTTGGGTCTAGTCTTAAGAGAGGACTATATTTCTTTATTCTGCATTTCTGTCCTTTGCTTTCCTTAGCATTTTCTTGAAGGATTTTTAACTCTTCAGGAAAGCATTGTTGCTGAACATGTTTCAATATGGCTCGTTCAGCTTTTCTCAAGTCTTCTGCGTCAAGTGTCCTCTTTACATCAAATGACGTTTTATGAACCTTGCTTCTCATATAGTCCTTTACACGTAACATGATGAGTAATAACATGATGAGTAATAACTGATGTACTCATCTATTACATCCTTTCCTTCATGATCAGATCCATCTTTACCAGACTGACTTGCCATATGAGAAGATAGTTTAGGCTGTTTGATTTCCACATTTTTTTCATCTATAGACTCCATCACTGTTGGGTCTCGTCTCGTGGCCAGTTGTCTTATGATTGCTTGATGAAGCTTGGTTGTTCAGTCCACCTTGTATTCTGACTCAACTCCATTGCTGATTGTCCTCTGGACAGTACATCTGCCGGATTGCTGTTTGAGTCTACATGACTCCATTGATCTAAATTTGACCCCTCATGGATAGCAGCAACTCTATTGGAAACAAACATCTTGTATCGTTTCTCCTAATTCCTCACGTAGTTGAGTACTATCGTACTATCTGTCCAAAAATGAGATTCACTAATGGACAAGTCCAACTGTCTGCGAATCAGATCTAGTCTTGGCACAGTGATCTTCTTCAAGGGCGTCACATGTGATTTAGCTATCACAATACTGCTTTACACCTTCCCATCAGTGTTTGTCAGTCTCATGTAGGACACTGCACCATAGCCTTTCTCAGAAGCATCTGAGAAATGATGTAGCTGACGATCAGATACCTCACCGAAGTCATGTGGCTTTAGACATCTATTCACAGTAAATTATTCCATGTATTTCATGTCATCCAGGCAGTATTGCCACTTCTGACACAAATGAGTAGGTAATGGATCATCCCACTCGAGCTTCATTGCTGTCATCTCTTGTAACAACATCTTGGTTTTTCATCACATAGGGAGCAGCATATCCGTGTGGATCATACATTGTTGCAATGGTACTCAAAACTTCCCGTCTCATCATGGGCTTGTCCTTAGGTATGACGTTATACATGAAACAGTCTTGTTCCACATCCCAGCAAATACCCAAGGCTCTCTCGATTGGTAGTGCATCCATAGATAGATCCAAACCAGCAATCTTCTTGGCTCTATCTTTGAGTGGGATAGTCTCCATCACCTTTGGGCTATTGCTAACCCACTTGCTTAGTCTAAATCCTCCTTTAGCTAGAAGAGACCTAAGTTCATCAGCAAGCTTGACTGCTTCACATTCTATAGCAACAGATACCAGACAGTCATCTACGTAGAAGTTCTCTTTCACAGTCTTCACAGTCTCTGTCGAGTATTCATCTTGGTTGTCTTCAGCAGTCCTCTTCAGGATATAGCTACAACAGCTAGGACTCCAAGTCCCACCAGATAAGTGAGCACACATTCGATAGGACCGTATGCATAAAAAGTAGCAATTGCTTGCAAGCAATTGCTTCAAGCACAAGCAATTGCTTGTCAAGCAAAAGATCAAGCTCAAACAATTGCTTAAATCCGTATGCATAACATTTTGCTTGTGCTCAAACCTTTTGCTTGCCTCCAGCAAGCAATTGCTTACGATCTCAACAATAGCGACGTCACGCCGGTGCAAACATCATTCATGGGAGAACAAAGGCGGGTTTCGCATACTAGTAGTGTATTCAAATGTTGTTTGGTAACCCGGATCCGCTAAGTAGTGGAGCTCTCCACCGTTGTCAGACATCCTCCCCGTTTTTCATCATGTTCAGGTATGAACCTGTGTGCTAACCACTCAACGTTCTCTTTGTCGAAACGGAATAGTTTCCGATAGGTCTCGGGAGCAATTTCTTCTCGATTTATTCTACTCCTGTACAACTTTGGTTTTTCTCTAACGAGCATAAACATGATGCTTAACCGCGAACGTCCCGATTAAGCAAGAGCTCAAGCTGCTATGACGGAGCTTGAAAAAACGTAAGCAATTGCTTATAAGAACAAGCAAAAGGTTCGTTTTATGCATACGTTTTTAAGCAATTGCTTGATCTTTAAGCAATTGCTTGCGGACATCAAGCAATTGCTTGTGCTTGCTAGCAAAAGCATTTGCTTGCAAGCAATTGCTTATGTTTATGCATACGGATTCAAGTAAAAGGCTAGCACAAGCAATTGCTACTTTTTATGCATACGGCCCAGTGTGGGAGTCTTGTCAAGATCGCCATCGGGAAACCACAGAAATCTCAGGACATCTCTGTCTTCTATAGGTACACGGACTTGATGGAACATTGCCTCTATGTCGGACATTAATACCACTGGTTCCTTCCTGAATTTCAGCAACACTCCCTGCAAGTTGTTTGTCAAGTCCGGCCCCTGTAAAACCACATCATTAAGAGAGATCCCCTTGTATTTCGCTGCACAGTCGAACACTATCCTTAGTTTATCTGGTTTCTTTGGATTATGGACAGGGTGATGAGGAAGGTACCAACACGTCTTGTCTGAGGACTCATCAGTCACTGTCTCAGCATACCCCTTGTGTACTAGGTCTGCTATACCTTCCTGATACCACATATGTAGGTTCCTGTCCTTGAGCAACCTCCTTCTCAGCGATGAAAGTCTCTGCTGTGCCATCCATCGACTATCCTTCAAAGGTGGTGGTCTTTCCCTGAATGGAATTGGTAGCTCATAATGAACTTCTTTCATCCTTGCGTTCTCATCCCACAGTTTGAGAACTTTCTTGTCCATTACAGACATTCCTTTCAGGTCAGACAGAAGGGAACCAGTTTAATCTATAGCCCAAAACTGCTTTACCTGTTCATCTAGTGTTGAGTTCTCAGAGACGAAGTTCGTGGAGACATGGCCCTGGAAACCACCTGCATCAAGCGGGCCATTCAAAGTCCATCCCAACATGGTGCGAACTGTATATACTTCCCCTGGGTTTCCCTTTCTCACTTCCAGAGGGATAAGTGCTTGCGAACCATCCTGCCCTATAAGCATATCAACTTGGACATCATCTATGGTTGGAATGTTCAGATCCGATAGATGCTGGTACTTCCTGATATCTTCCCTCTTGGCCAGATGTTCAGGACTGACATTTATCCTTGACTTGGTATAGACTCTTGGTAGATTAACCTTCTCACCTGTAGTCTTGCCTTCAACTTGCAGACTGATCACCACAGAGTCCAAAGTGCTATTGGCAGTCTCTAATGTCGAAATAGACAACGTCTGCTTCTTGCCAGATGAATCTAGCCTGTGCATAAGGTCCTTAGTGTTAGTGCAAAAACTGCCCGTGGAATCACTGTCCAGAAGGGCAAATGTATCAGTACATGTATCACCATCTGCAGCCTTTACTCTGACTTGGACAATAGGAAGTGCAACTCTCATCCCTCCGGCCCCTGTGATACTACTATGAGAGGCAGCTGTGGCAATGGTATCACTGCTCTCCGATGCATTATCTGAACCTCTCTGCTGTGTCATGTTTGGCGCCTTTCCCCCTGTTGAAGACTGGGGAAAGTGAAGAAACTTTGTATGTTTTATTCCACAACCGGCAACTGTACAAGTCCTGTTTAAGCTTACACGCTGACGTCATATGTTCCTTCAGTAAACAGTTGAAACACAACCGTACGTTCTTTCTTGGCGAAGTCAAACATCTGCTGGGGTGACATTCCCTTAAACTTGGGACATCCAAACAGTTTGTGTTCAAGGCCACACAAACTGCACTTCAACACGTCTTTACTCTTGACGCTGTACACACCCTTGCTCCGGTTGTTAGGGACCTGCTTCTTCCTTCCAGAGATACCCTGTTTCCTTCCTTTCTGCTGAAGAGAGCCATATACCGGATCATTCTCTTCGTCAGCTACCTCATCAACATAGGAAACAAGGTCAGCAAGGTTTGGTAGTCGGTCCTCCTTTCTCTGGATCCTTCTTGCTATCCTGATCCATCGAGATTGAAAGTAGATGGGTAGCCTTTCAACAATATCGGCTAATGATCTTTGAGAACTTAGCTCCATCTTGTACCCCATTGCATTCAAGGTTTCGTAGCAAACCCAGAGCTCATCCGCCATCTTCCTCAGAGCTGGACCATTGTGAGGAGGAATGGGATTTCCCTCAGTTACCTTTCTTGACCAGGCATCTGCAACCTTGTGTCTGTTTCCGAATCGCTCTTGCAGAAGCGCCTTAGGTCGGACATATCCCTGATCGGGACTCATCGCAGAACATGCTTGAATAATCTTTCTTACATTTCCTTGGCAGTAATGAAGAAGCCTTGTTAGTTTTGCAGAGTCAGAGATCCTCGTGTCATCTACATTTAGCTGGAACGACCTCCAAAACTCCCAGTATTGCAGTGGGTCTCCATCGAAGGTCATCAGTTCAGCTCTGGGGAGCTGTAAGAGCTCGATCAATTCTAGATGCTCTACTCTAGACCTAGGCCTAATATCAGCTTCTTGGTGCCCCATTCCAGACCTACTACCTTGTGGCCTGATATCAGCTTGTGGGTGCTCTGTTTCAGACATACTACCTTGAGGCCTGATATCACCAGCTTCTTTTCGCTGCACCCTTTCCTCTGCTGCTGCTACCTTTAAACTGGTCTTTAACATCAGTGCATCCTTCTGTTGTTTCAGCTTTTACTCTGCCAATTGTAACTCTTGAAGTTCTTTAAGGGCCTCTACTTCCGCTGCAAGGGCTGCCCCTTTTGCCTTGGCACTGACACTGGAACTGACACTGACGGCAGAGGCATCTCCAGGCTGGATTTCACTAGCGTTGCTTCTACTGCATTGCAGGGCTGGGTCTTCCGGTCTATCCGGCTTGGCCTCACTCGCAGATTCAGTACTTGAGGAGCTCATGGTGACCAGGTGACAGTTAACACAGCTCACAAAAAGCCTGTTATTGAACTATTGTTGACGTTAATTCAGCACAAACACCCTCATCTACCAACTGTATATTTAAACAAAGGAGTTCTGCCAATGCCGTGTTATGATACCATGACGTTAATTGCGCAAAGCGCAAAGCAATGCACAATGACTGAACTTCTGAAGCGAAGTGACGTGTAGTAACCTGTAGTGTGGTTCAATCTGTATACAAACAAACAAAACATAAACAATAATAAATACCTTGCTTATAAATCAACAATCACAAGCATTATCTAATACTGCTCTATTGTAAGCCAAAAAGCTGAATCTTATTACCACTTGACTGCTTTAATTAGCTTGACTTCATCAATATTCATGAACATATCATACAAAACGTCCATTTACACCCACTGTCACTGACTGTCAATGTCAGGAGTCAAATTCTACAATGCCAGTTGTAGTGATTCAGCCCGAGCCAGTATGGCTCTGGCGTATATAAACGCATATGCGCGCGAGTCCCGCATTCTGCGGCACTCGCGGATTGTTTCAGTGGCCGTACCCAATATTGGATATGGTAGATTTGACCAGAGACCAGCAAACGAGCTACACACCGAGTGCTATGTTCTCCTTGAATCTCGAATCTACGCTTCAAGTGGAGCTCCAACGACGGTGAAATGGAGTATTCGAGATACAGTTCTACAGCCTATATTGTAGGATTGTACCTTTTTATAGTAGCTTAAATGTAGTCATAATCCCTAAGTACTAAGTAGTATTATTATTATACTGGTCGACGCTGATCATCACTGCGTGCAAGTCGGGATCAAGGTCTTTCGGAAACTCATAGTGATAAGGCGATATTCCTCCTGTGATGGTCCAGAGAGAGATGCTGTTCTCCACCTTTCTTAGAGCATCTTCTGGTATTAGGTACATCCTTCTGACCAGGGAACACATCTTTCATCCTTAGCAGATAAACGGCAAAGCCCAAGGTCTTGTTCCAGGTATCCTCCGGTGGTCCCCAGTACAAATGTATAACACCATTCTCTGCTAAAGCCTGGAATCCAGTAGGCTCCGAGGGAAGCTTGGTTTGAGCTCTTATTTGTCCACTGCTAACTGCCGATGTGGCGTTAGTGCGTACTTCAAAGGAATAGTTAGCTCCTGCAACCAGATGAGGTACATTTAGAGGGATGGTTCTTTTGTCGGTGGCTGGAACTGTGATGTTGTGCCGTTCTGATGGTTGCGACAAGTTCCAATAGTAGGCAATGTATGCGATTGCTGAGGGCATAAAGTCCCTTGGAGACGTCCATTGCAAAGTGACGTTCTGGAAATCGGTTTTCTGCACTTGCAAGTTCCGCGGTGGCAATGTTTGATCATACTCTGTGATTGCGCGTACTATGGCGAAGGGTGCATCCTCACATGGGAGTGCCATTCTGACCGCAAACTGATAGGTCACATCAGGGGATAGGCCATAGATGGTGTAGGAGAGGGAACTGGTATGAAACTTACTGAAATCAGCTGGGTTTCCTACAGAATAGGCAATGTCGTAAATCACTTTGCCAGTTGGCTTGCTGGCAGGTTCGTGCCACTGTAGTTGAACTGAATTTCTAGATAATACTGTGGCATTCAGGTCTTGAAGGCGGCCGTACGGCGTGCCTATGGTCATACCTTGCCGGGGCGCTGAGAGGGAACCTCGGCCCAGGTTGTTGTAGGCAACTACCTCAAAGACGTACGCGAGTCCTGGGCAGAGATTATGCAAAGTTGTGCTAGTCTTGGTGGAGTTGGCAATGTTTCTTTGTGGTAGTTCACCTGAACTCACAGTAGCATACACCATGTAGCCAAGTATTGTTATTTCAATTGGCTCTGCTGGTCTAGTCCATGACAGGTCGACGCTGTCCTTTTTTATATTCCTTACGGTTATATTGGTTGGAGCTGGCTGTATAGATCCTCTACCCACAAAGACAGGAACTTCTGCGCTGCGATTTCCGGAGACATCACCGACTGAAGCAGAAACCGAGATGTAGAACAGTTTGTCCTCCTCTAGATGGTAGCTCTCAAAAAACCTTGCCTTTGTATAGCGCGTATCAGCCGTACTTGAGTGCTCGTCACGGTAATAGACCTCAAACAGAACACCAGGTGTGTCCACGTAGTTCCATGTAACATTGACCCACAGGTACGATGGCTCCACTTGCAGGTTAGCTTTAACGTTGCTGGGTGTTGCAATCTCTCTCGAATCTGCAGGCGTTCTATAAGAAAGAAGAGGCACCTTGTTGTATGCCGTGCTACCGATGTAGATAGATGCGGTGAATACATAGTCTGTTTCTGCCTTCAGATTGGACCAGAGGTAAGACTGACGGCCCATGACGTGTGAATACGTTTCATTGACAATACTTGTAGTCGGCAAGTCATGGTGGGGTTGATCAGCTTGAGGGTCAGCTTCCCTCTTATAGAGCGATACGATCATAGAATTCTGTTCTGTTGGGAGATTGAAATGTACTATAGCTGATTTGATATCAGGACCAACTCCAACTTCCATCCTTGTACCGTATATCCACTATATCAGTTGGCTTCATCTTCACCTTCGATGCAGTCGTTATTTCCATTACACTGCTTAAGTTGGTTGATACAATATCCGGAATATGGACAGAAGAACTGACACATCCCGCAGATGGTTGGCGTTTGAGTGTCGTGTAGGGATCGGTGAGGAGGCGAGGAGCATAAATGAAGAGGCTTGTAATCGTTCAGTACAGTTTCTGGATAGCATTTATTCAATCTTCTTGCTTAACTACATAACACAATGACTCTCTAGTAGACGACTCTAAAATCCGAGATACACAATATGATCTCTCTCTATGTCTGTAGCTAGTCTATCTCAAAACCCTTGTTCCTCGGGTGATGGCTGAAACCAAAGTCCCTATCATTATCCAACTTTACATTCAGGAAAGTTTGGGGAGAGCAACAATGTTGGGAGGGGAGACTTATTCATGCTTATCATTGGTCAATGGTCAGGGTTGTCATCATGGTATTATGGGGAGTGGCTATGGAGAGTGTAAGTGACTGGGGTTTGGGCCTAGTATGAGTCATTGTTATTGGAATGTGGTTCGATCCTGGAATCTAAATCTTGGGTGGTCATTAATGGTCAATTGTTTATAATAAAAGTAATGGGATAATAGGGTTCTGTTTTATCATGGAGCAGGTGGGAGAAAGGTGAATGAAAGGTGAATGACTGAAAGGAGGGGGGAATAAAACAAGTACTACATAACAACAGGTTGACATCCATCTTCATCACTGAGATCAGAACAGTCGTAGTAACTGTTGCATTGCTCTGATCTGGGTATGCACTTCTGACCATTCCTGCATTTAAAGTCACCGTTAGGGCAATGGGAGACGGTCGTCGGGACAGAATGTTGGTGGTTGGCCATCCAGGCTCTTCAGTTCCGCAATGTACCTCGTCGCTCCTGTCTGAGCAGTCAGCCTCGCCGTCGCAAACAAACCACTACCAGACACAGCGGGGCGTGGCCCCTGGTCCACAAGGCACCCGCAGGAACCCGCAGCCAGGATCATGAGTAGTGTACGGCATCAGCGTGGAAGATGAGCAATGTTCGTCACTACCATCAGAGCCATCCTCGTAGAAATCACATTCCCAATTCTTCGGTATGCACTGCCCATTGTCGCATACAAAGCTGTCCCAATCACACGTGTTAGGGTAGATCGTGGAAGTGACATTACTAATGCAATCGTATTCATCTGAGCCATCTTCACAGTCTCTATACCCGTCACACTTCCAATTATACGGTATACATAGATCCCAGGTACAACAATGGAAGTCTCCATCGTTGCAGTTAAACGGATCGGATATCGTCCATTGGGGCCACATTGAAGATGGGCAGCCGTGCTCATCACTGTTGTCTCCACAGTCATCGTAGTTATCGCACTGCCAATAGGCCGGAATGCAATGGCCATTTTGACAGGTGAACTGCATAAAATTACAGGTGTATGCCGTGCAGTTTTGGTACGGTGCTTTATCCCAATTGTTCCCACAGTCATTCCCACCGTCACACAACCACGTAGTTGGTATGCAACGACCGTTGGGTCCACACTGTGTGAAGTTGGCGTTGCACCCAGCTGCCACGGTCGTCGGTATGTTTGTGATGTCACAGTTTTTCTCGTCTGAGTTGTCTCAACAATCATTATCCAGATCACATAGGAAGCCCATCGGAATACAGCGGCCGTTATCACATGTAAACTGATCATTGCTACACGTCAGGAAAGCACAATTTTCTTCATCGGAGTTATCACCGCAGTCATCATAATGATCACATTCCCATGACAACGGGACGCACTGGGAACCACCAGATTTGCAACGGAACTCATCGGGGCTACAGGTGGAGTACGGACAATTGAGTTCATCTGAGCCGTCAGCAAAGTCGCTCTCATGATCACACTTCTAGAAGCTAGGAATGCAGCGATCAGAGTCCAAGCATCGGAACTGGTCAGGATTACAGGTGGATCCCTGAGTCATGCAATATCCCGTGGTGAGGTTAAGCTTCTCTCCTGCTTCACACTGGCAGTCCTCTCTCCCGTCGGGCGTGATGACGATCCTCATGTCATCTGGACAGACACAAACCCTCGTCACGGCGTCCAGACTGCTTGCGTCTGGCTTCACGATGCAAAGGTGGGTGCAACCGCCGTTGTTCTGGGAGCAGGGGTTTACGCCTTGCTGCGAGGCATTGTGAAAGATTTTGAGATCCATGGCACTGTCCAGACCAGAAACTACAGTTCTGACATTAGCACCAGTATACTTGTTAGCTGACTGAATGCTCAGTTGAGACCAGTCATCCCAATATATCATATCCTTGTAAACAGCGATTGAAAACGGATGCGGGGTGTTCTGATCGAGCAGGACTTCACGATTGGATCCGTCCAACCAAGCGGTCTCAATCCTGTCAAAGTGGGCGTCCGTCCAGAAGATGTGTGAAGATTGGTCATCAATGTTCAGACCGTTTGGCCAGTAGATGCCCGTGGTGACCAGCATGGTGACGTTCATACCGTCCATGTGGGCAGTGGCGATGACCGGATTAGCACCCCAGTCCGTCCAGTACATGTTACCCCTCTTCGGTTCCAGAGCTAGCGCCCTCGGTTGGTCTAGAGTAACATTCATCTTAAGTTCTCGTCTGAAGCGTCCATCAAAGCGCGCAACCTCAATCGTATCACTATTGGAGTCCACCCAGTACAAGTTCTCTGCGAGCCAATCAAAAGCGATACCTTCGACCATATCAAGACCAGCGCTTACAATGACCTGGTTCTGGTTGTCGGAGTCGCCTGGAAAGAAGCGATGGATCTCATCGAAAGTGACTTCAGCGTAATAATAGCATCGTGATGTTGATTGTGGTGGTTATATTGGTGATGGTGATTTCCCCCTTTTAAGTCTCTCCCTCCCTTTCTCTCTCTCTCTCTTTCTTGTACCATCCCTACCTCCCCCTACCTCCCTCCAACCTATCCTTTTCATATTTACCTTTCTTACTTGAAATCCACTTCTCCTAATTCAATTTTTCTTTAAATTACCATAGAAACAATGACAGTTATAATTATTCATTGTTTTCAAGATTACTTTATTGGTTTTATTTTTTAATAAACGTTTATTGTGTTGGAGGTATGTTAATTTCATTTTAAGGTGTACAAGCTCTTATTCATAAAACAACATCATGAATATATTTTAATTTCCGATCCTCATTCGTAAATGACTATTCTCTATTCGTATTTAATTCAGTCATATCCATAATTAACTTGCGTATGTCGAATATATGACGAACGTGAACACAGAGCCTATAAACCTATAGACTAGAGCGACTAGAGGATGTCCTGTCTTTTTTGAGAGTTTGAGAATGAGATTGGGACATCATGTACATGCCCTGATGCAAACTCTTTTCGTTATCGGGAAATCTTGGCTCCTCTTAGGTGAATGTCGAAGGTTTTAAGTCGAGTTTTCTCTACCTCTATATGTCGAACAAACTCAACGACGATTGATAGTCGCTTTCCAAAGTGTCCCAGATGCAGGCACGTAGCCAGAGTTTGATGTTTGGGGGGGGGGGGGGGGGGGCACTTACATGTAATCGATCGAGGTCAACAAAGGGGTCTAAACAAAATCAACCGATCTTGGAAATTTTAGGGGGGGCACGTGCCCCCCCCCCCCCCCCCCGTGGCTACGCGCCTGCCCAGATGACCCTAATTGTAAAAATGAAGGTAAGTTTGTTTGGCATCCTTATCCCAAATTCTTTGGTCAGTTTTGAATCACTTTAAGGTGGGCTCGTTGAAGTTGGTCCATAATCTGTTGAGTATTTAAATTACTGACTTGCCAGCTTAACTTTGTGCTTAGTTTCCTTATTCTTGGTCACAAGGGTTAACGACACTACTGTTATGTTAGATTACTTTCACGTAACTTCCGTTTGATACTGTCCGATTTCGGTTTTCCGTTCATTCTTGCAATTTGATCTGTTGAGTCCAAGACGAAAAGCTTAATATGTCTGCATTGGTTGATATTATTCAAGTTTCACCATGTTCGCCATCGTCAGGCGGGATATAAGCGAGTCCTATGGTTGAAGTGAAAAGACAATTTGAAAAGTACTACTGTCTGGTGATTGTTTATGAACGGACTGCTCTTTGCAGCTTTCTTCTTTTATTCAAGCTTTTTATTCCAAGACTCCAGAGGGAGCTTCTTTTCTTGATACTTGGCTACCATCGTTACTGAGAGACTTTGAATGATGGAGTTTTCTCTGATGTCTCAGTGTGTGGCCTTTGTTTGGCCGATGATGTAGGGCCTTCGGGGAATCTTACGTACCACCTTGGTACTGTAGATGTTATGAAGGTTTGGTGTTGTTTACACTAATGCAGCAGTGTACTCGCAGCTACCACTTAGATTAATACGTGTTATTAAGTGTTGGTTCCACTAATTGGTGTTCTTCATAAATTGATTTACAATCATTTGTAGTCATTTTAACCGTATGCTCATAAAGATTTTCATAAACACAGGGAAACACTAACAAATAAGTATAAAATCGACAACGTTGGGTTTTCAAGCTCCGAGACTTTATTAACAACAAACCAAAGAAAATCTGTCTCAAAACCCTAAATATTGACTACTCTTTAAAGGGACTTGGTAACATTGTTCAGATAAGAGAAAATGGTGCTAAGGAGTAAGGAAGTAGTGACTTCAATGTTAGATGTACAATGATAGTGTGAAAATTTGAGTGAAAACGGACCATTATTAACGATAATAAGTGGGGAAAACTGATCTAATCGATTCCTTCATTGTCCCAACTATATTATTACAATTTAATTACATTTAAGGTGAATGCAAATCGTTAAGAAGCAATGAATTGGCTCTTCATACCATTCCAGACATTTAAGTGTTGACAGATTTTTAAGAGCCTGTCTTACGTAATGTTTTGAAGGAAAAACGGTTCGGAAAAATTCAAAAATGGTTGGGAGAATTTACTGTTAATCACTGTGAGAGGGTGTTGCACAGCAACGCCTTCAAAGAAAACCATAAATAACTTTGAGGTTTGAGAATTTTCTCAGGAATTTTTGCCTGTTAGAGGGTAAGTACAGTAGAAGGAATATAACTACATTTCATACAAAAATTACACAGTTTTTTCATCAACCTTCAACAATGTTACCGAGTCACTTTAATCAAATGTGATATTAAATACATTTAAGTAATATTGACTGCCTTCTGGGCAATACGACATATATCGCCCGAACCGAAGGTGAGGGTGATATATGACAAGTCGTATTGCCCTGAATTAGGCAGTCAATATTACTATTATTAACCACATCAGACATCTAGAGCAAACAAGAAACTCTTACTATCTTATACTCTTAAATTATGTAGGCTATACAGGGTTTCCTAGCATTAGAAGTTGCAAAAACATTGTCAAACCAGCACTGTTCATCCAGTGTTTGACAGATTTTTGATACACTGCAAACAGTTTGCCTTGGGTTTGATTGTTACGTCACAATGGAGTTCGCGCAAAGTGCGCATTTTTTTATACACGATGCGCGATGTAGATTACAGTAGCTGATGCGCGATGTAAATTACAACTGGATCTACATTATTGCGCACTAGTTTAACACGCATTTTGCCATTGACTTTTCTGAGCGGGCTAAAATATTTGTCCATTGGATTACTGTATAACCTAAGTATATCACCCGCCAAATTACACACAAATCACATTGACTCTTCTGAGCGGGCTAAAATATTTGCGCATTGGCTTACTGTATAACCTATATTGCCCGCCAAATTACACACAAAATCGCATTGACTTTTCTGAGCGGACTAACTTATTGTAATTTTGTTCACTTGTCCATCAAACCTTGAGGGCAATAACATTTAAAAATTTCCCTGCTCAGATGTCTGATACGGTTATTATTACCCGTATCAGACATCTGAGCTGGTCATTTACAAAACCGTATTGCCCTAGTTTTCACTAGCAGTGGGAACGGAGGGGTATATTCTTTGTATTTTCCTTGGTCTCCCTGCGCGTATTGACTTTGCGTGTAGAGACGAGTGAAAATATACCTTGGTATTTTCCACGGTCTCGCATTTTCATTGCGCATCTATTAATATTATGCGTACGAGAACCTGCGCACTTTGCGCGCACTGTATTGTGACGTAATAATCAAACCAAATACACACTGTTTGTAGTGTATCAAAAATTTTGTCAAGCACTAGATGCAAAGTGTTGGTTTGACAAAGTTTGTTCAGTTCTTGAGATTGTCATGGTGGATGTCTGTATTTGCTCTAGATGTCTGATTTGGATAACAATAAAAATATTGACTGGCTTTACTTTCGGGGGATATCAGAAATATTGACCGCGCTAAGACCATATTGCCCTCGTCTTTCGACTCGGGGCAATATGATCTGAGCTTGGTCAATATTTCTGATATACCCCTCAAGGCCAGTCAATATTATATAAATGTTCTATAATATGGGCCTTCATTAACATCATTAACAAAAACTATTGCAGTCATTATTCATCAGTGTACATGTTTTTTACATTACAAGCATGAAATGGAAAAAAACTTCTAAACCAGTTTGCAGGCACTAACCCCTGTCCTTAGATTTGCGTAATAGTATCTGCACTTTGAGACTACGCTGATATCACTACATATAGACTATGTACTTAATCTGCTACGAACACAGTCAGAGACTGGCAAATATAGGCTCTGCTCAAGACTTTAAGAGTTGTGTTCAAGAGTCAAATTAAAGTCTGTACCTCCGGACTACTAAACCAATTCAACCAATTACACCTGCTTTCCATTTCAACCTAACTATGGTTAGATCTTTACTCTACTGTTACTCTGTTTTAATTTCAACATGCACATAAGCTTCAAACATATTCTGGAGACATAGAAACTGAATAAGTAATATTTGCAAAAAGTCGTAATTACGTAGTACATAAACATATTTAGTTAAGAACGGGGTATAGGAAATTTTAATGAATATAGGCCTGATAATTGATGTAAAATGTATGTTGCAGGTAAACCTCCTTTTTACAGCAATTTGATACCAGCCTCATTATCTATTATTCCAATACATATCTATACTGTTCACAATTGTGATTCAGCGTCAACATAAACTTCAGAATGATACATAGGCCAACTATTAGTTAAGAGAAACTTATTACAAACATATTTACAAATATATTTCTTCGAAAGAGAAAAAGAAGGCATGTGTAATGCATGCGTATACAGGTCGACAGTCAAGACCAATAAATGATTTTGTGACCAATATCTATTTTGCCTTGAGAGGCATTTCCCCCCAGGATATACAAAATATAAATATTCGTAAAATTGAACCAAAACAAAAGTGCAGTTTGATTCAAAGAGGATGTACAGTTTAAAGGAAGGGTATTCTATAGACACTACTTCAGATCAGCACTGCTTCATATTTACGTGTACTGCGATCTGCTGCCCGCAACGCCCACAACGCTCACAATGCTTGACAAATGGAACATTTTAGTAATGTAATCAAATTTGATGCATAAATCTTTGCTAAGTCCATATTAACAATTTATTTCACTCACCTGTTACAATTAATTACATTTCAACTGTGAGAATGCCCATTCCGTAGAGTAATTGTCGCTATGTAGGACAAACATTATGGCTTGTCCGACCTGACAACACGGAAGGTATGTAATTCGCATTCTTTTGAAATACAATTATTCAAAGTGTCATTTTTCAGAGAGCAGCTGTAATATTCCCATGAAATGGTGG